GGGCATGTGCCAGCGAGCTGGCTGATGTTCTCACCACCATCTTCAACCTCTCCCTCAGCCAGAGCATCGTCCCCACCTGCTTTAAGACCACAACCATCATTCCCCTTCCCAAGAAGAGCCCGGTCACCTGCCTGAATGACTACAGGCCAGTGGCACTCACCCCAATTATTATGAAGTGTTTTGAGACAGTGGTGCTGGCCCGCATTCAGAGCAGTATACTGGGCACCCTGGCCCCCCTGCAGTATGCCTACCGGCCCAACAGGGCCACCTCAGATGCCATCGCGGCTGCACTCCACTATTCCCTTTCTCACCTGGAAAATGGAGACTCCTACATCAGGATACTCTTCATTGACTACAGCGCCACCTTCAACACAGTTGTCCCCCACAAACTCACCCACAAACTATCCACACTAGTTCTGCACCCCACCCTCTGTGACTGGCTCCTGGAATTTCTGACTGGCAGTCCCCAGTGATTTACTGTTTACATTCTGTTTGCACATGCATAATTGCACAATGACTGTTGACTGCTGCACATGCTGCTCCCATGCAGCATACATTCTCTATTATATTCTTGTATGTTTTTTCTACTATATTGCTGCATCTGCGCTGCTTAAAGTGCCTTAGATTTTGTGTTATTTATTTATCTACTTTATATTTCATTTTTATTTTGTGGCATTCATGTGGACGGCAAAGTAAGAATTTCATTGTACAGGGAAACACGTTTCCTAACTGTGCATATGACAAAATAAACACTTTGAACTTTGAACAACAAGGGCACTTTTTGACAGGATTGTAGTACCTCACAGTTTGTCAAATCAGAAATGTTGTAATGTGTTTTAATAAGCATTTTTTCCCATTGTTGCACAGAGTAAATTCAAGGGCACAAAAGTAATTGCAGTAATACATTATAAAAACAGCAGTGTTGGCTCTGTGTTCTGTCTATAACCTGCAGATAACCAAGTGAGATGAAACTGGCAACAGGTCAGCAGACAGCCTACTGTCCAATACAGTCTTTAATTTTTGGCAGGGACACATTTTATCTGTTTGGCTCTGTAGTTTTTCTTATTTGGTTTAAAATGAAATTAAATGAGATTAAATTGCTGACTTTAAGCAGTTTAACTGTATTCACACCCACAATGGACAAACAGTGGAGCAACCGCAGCCTCCTAACCCTAACCCTCTGCCAAGTTCAGGGCAGTGCAGGATGGTGGTTATTTTAAACATACAGATAATGCTGCCAGGGTGTTTATATGGCCCAGCAATGAGATGCTGACTGGCAAAGTCAGACACCTGTCCTCAGTCCAGCTGAGCAGGTGTGTCACTCACAGGCCTAAGGCAAAATTTTCCACACACCTAGACTTCAGACAGTCAATGAATGAAAAGATTTGAGTCCAAATATGATACTAAAATATACTAGAGTTTGTGCTAAACGGTCAAATGATCTTTGCCCCAGTAAAACCTTATGCTGCAATCCCTGTGCTGTTTATCTGTGAATCACTCCTTATTAAGCCTTTGATGATGCAATGTATGTTGGTTGATGTTGTTGAGCATTTTTTTCAGGGAGTTTTGCCTGTTTTTCAGGTCTGGCTTATACTGTACCACCACATACAGTCCCCTTTACCAACCGGTTCCTCTGTCCCAGCACTTAAGGCCAATGGAGGTGCATGTACTAAAGTTTAGTAAAACAGATTCACACTGATGTTAGCATGAAGTGATGTCAATTAATAAAACCTTTTCTGTCACCGCAGAATTTCAAAGGACCAGAGCAGAGAGTTCGAGAAACACCACAAATCAACATCGTGGATGGAGTCACTCATCTCTTTTCATTTTCATACTTTACTGTTGGTATGATGTTTTCATGTTGGTATGTAACATATATATCATATATAACATATCATGTTTCACAGAGAGTTGATGCAGTCCGAGCTGAGCCGTATGTAACCTGTAAGCCTGAACTAAGGGCAGAGAAAACCTTAAAATACAGACAAGTCGCTGGCACATATTTGCAGATCCCAGAGAAGGCAAGATTGGAGCAAAAATCACATGTAAAAACACAAAATTGAGAGGCTTATCTGAGGTGTAAAAGTAACAATCCCGTTTTTCATGTAACTGTATATATTTGGAAATTCTTTTACACATGTGTAGCCCGGGTAAAATGATTGCTGCACAGGACACAATAACTGCGGTCCTTGCAGCTTCAGTGTCCAGCAGGTCATGGTTTATTTGAACGTGGAAACAAAATACGGAGTAACAAGATAAAAA